AAGCATTGCTACCCATGGTATGATTTGTGGACCTGTGCTAATGTGTGAAATGTGATCAGTCTGTAGTGAGATAGGAGCGTGTACTAGGATATAAAAGATTTATATTGGTAAGCATACTATTTAGTTCATTTGAATTTTTTTTTTTTTTTTTTTTTCAGTTTTTGGCTGGGGCCGGGTTTGAACCCTCCACCTCCGGTATATGGGGCTGGTACCCTACTCCTTTGAGCCACAGGCGCCACCCATATTTCTAGAATTTATATTACAAGGTAAAAGAGCAAGAATAGCTGGAACAATTTTGAAAAAGAAGAATGAAATAGGCATCACACTACCTGAAGGACAGACCCACCACACAAACACACAAATTGATTTCTGGCAAATTTGCAAAAAACAATGAAAGAGAAAGGACAGTCTCTTAATAAGTGGTGTTAGATCTGTTGGCCACCTGTGTGAAAAAGCCCCAATCTATGCCTCACACTTTGTATAAAAATCATCTCCAATTGGGTCGTATAGCTATTGATAAATATAAAAAGTAAAACTTTAACATTTTTAGAAGAGAACATAAGAGAAAATCTTTGTGGTTTCTGGTTAGGCAAGGAGTCCTCCCTCATCTCATGACCAGCGGCTCAGCGGGAGAGCCCAGAGGGCGAGCTCCTGCACTTCCTATGTACCAGGAATGGTCAGGGTGTGCTTGTGTGCTGTAGGGAATTGATGTCTGATTTCAGTGAAGTAACTTATACAACTACCGTTTACTGAGCACTTAACTGTGGGCTGGGCTTGATTCTAACTTGGTCCTCACAACACCCCTACAAAATAGGTATTGCACTATTATTATTTAATTTCTTGAAATGAAGAAACTGAAACACAGGGAAACTGATAAGTAAGGCCTAGAGTGAGTTCTTGGGGTGGCGGAGCAAGAAATGGCCCTAGACAGCCTCTTTCTAGACCTGTGGTGCCACCCACCGCTCTGTTCTGACAGTTTCAGCCTCATCATCCTTCTTGAAAATGCAAATCACTACTGATCATGGCTTCTGTCACCCAGACATTTGTGGTTTTAGGGCTTTTTCTTTTTCCCCTGTGTAGGTTTTCTTCTCAGGCCCACCTTTAGGTTGGTGGGTTTTTGCCATTGAATCCTGGTGCAGTGTGGACTCATGTGAATCTATTTAGCGCCATCTTGTGTCTAGAGTGGGTTTACAGGAGAAATTGTTTTAGAATTAGATATTTAACGCCAAGGCTAGGGTATAAAAGATCCAGTGGAAAAGCTTTTGATTACCAAAATATTATGACAAATCAGTGTGATCAGAGACTTGATTTCCATTAGACATGAACTTTCTTGTGACGTACCTCTTCCAGTGTGATCAGTTAATGGAATCTTGGAGGGAAACAGATGAAGTTGACATTTAAATCTTAATCTGGGCATTTGTGCAGTACCAGAGGCCCTGAGCAGTTAGTAACAGTAGAGATCTTCTTTCTTGGCTTCTCACCCTTGGGGGGAAAGGTTTTCCCTGCAGAAGGCTAAAGAGTCTACTTTATCACTCTCCTGTACCCATGGGCTGATTTTAGAGGGGAATGCTCAAATGTGCCTCAAGACTGACTTTTCTTTTAAACAGTGGAACTCAGAAAGGGAGAAGGACTTTGGAACAAACTCTTCCTCCTTATTTATTTATTTATTTTTGAGACAGCGTCTCACTTTTTTACCCTCAGAGTGCTATAGTGTCATAGCTCACAGCAACCTCAAACTCTTAGACTCAAAGGATTGATTCTCTTGCTTCAGCCTCCTGAGTAGCTGGGACTACCAGCACCCACCTCAACACCTGGCTACTTTTAGAGATGGAGTCTCACTCTGGCTCAGGCTGGTTTTGAACTCCTGAGCTCAAGCAGTCCACCCACCTCAGCCTCCCAGAGTGCTAGGATTACAGGCATGAACCACTGCGCCTGGCCTAATTTAATATTTTAAATGACATTTGAGTGAATATTCTACTTTCCTTATCTTTTGTCTTTTTTTTTTTTAGTTTAGACTTAGAATTATTTCCTTAGGATAGATTTCTCAAATCACAATGACTAGGGAAAAGCTTTAAGAGGACTTTGAAGACTCTTAGCACAGACATTTTGGAGCCTGCCCACTGCAGCTGGAAGTAGGTTCCACCACTTAGGTAGGGATGGAGATTTCGGATGCATTGCTTCCCTTCTCAGAGGCTTGGTTTTTTTCCTCTGTCAAATGGGAGTAATATTGTTCATGCCTACAATCCTAGCACTCTGGTAGGCTGAGGTAGGAAGATAGCTTAAGGTCAGGAGTTCAAGACCAGACCACACTGAGCAAGAGTGTGATTCTGTCTCTAAGAAAATAGAAAAATTAGCTGGGTGTGGTGGCACGTGTCAGTAGTTCCAGCTACTCAGGTGACTGAGGCAGGAAGATGACTTGAGCCCAGGAGTTTGAGGTTGCTATGAGTATGATGATGCCACAGCAGTCTACATGGGATGACAGAGTAGAGCTTTACTTAAAAAAACAAATGAGGATAATATACTCACTGTATAGGGAAGTTTTATTAATAACACAAAGTCTCTCACGTGGTGCCTGTGGCTCAAAGGAGTAAGGTGCCGGCCCCATATGCCGGAGGTAACAGGTTCAAACCCAGCCCTGCAAAAAATAACACAAAGTTTTTCCTCAGGGCTTGGCACATAGCACTATAGTCTTAATTACAGAGTTTCTACCAGTTTGCTCTGCTGTAAGTAATGGATGAAAGTATTTGATACCTCATCATTTTATATTAAAATACCTTTGCCAATTTAAGTGAAAATACTACATTATTATTATTTTAATTTGCACTATTTTGTTATAGTGAGGATGAACAATTTTACACGTTGTTAGAAATCACCTGTCACCTCTTATAAAATGTTTTTGCCTTTTTCCTCATGATATTCAATATTTTCTTATCAGTTTGTATTACAAACTGGTAGTATTTAAACAAGAATTAATTTAATCCTTTATATTTGTTGTATCTTCACTTATCTAATATTATATTTTGTACCAGACTTTGTTTTCTTTGTATGCTACATACATATTTCTCACTAGGATGAGAAATGGGAGTATAAACGAGATCTCTTTGTTATAAATTCTGTGCATTTTTTATTATATCTATAATATTACTTGCAAGCCATGATAGTATCATGTGTTTGTTCCAACCATTCTACCTATGATATTTTATGTGTTATTAAATTTGCCTGAAATTCTATAGCAGTATTAAAATAATCATGAACTTAGTGGGCATCATTTAAAAATTATTCCAGACTTAAGTAGGAAGATTGACAGTGTTTCACCATTAAATAGAATATTGAATCTGTCATTTCCAAAAATCTACTGTTCATTAGGTCAAGGATGTGTCCAAATAATTTTTTAAATCTTTGAGTTGTTACATATTTGGGAGCATAGCTTTTCTCAGAATAATTATATGGTTTTGTTACTTGATCTTTTGTGGAAGAGGATAATGATGAGTTTCCTAATATCACACATTTGTTTACTTACAGTTTGTGTATACTCATGATTTTGTTTTGCTCTTTCAATCAATGCATTTCCTGTAGACTGTTTCCGATAACCTATATATAAACTTTGTGTGTATAATGCACAAAAAGAAAGAGTTTGGCTAGGCTTTGTGGCTCACACCTGTAATCTCAGCACTTGGGAAGCCCAAGTGGGAAGGATTGCTTGAGGCCAGGGGTTCAAGACCAGTTTGGGTAGCAAAGTAAGACCTCATGTCTACAAAATTTAGAAAAACTAACTTGGTGTTAGTTTTTCTAACAAACCTGTAGTTCTAACTATGCAGGAGGATGAAGTAGGAGGATGGCTTGAGCCCAAATGCCCTAGGCTTCAGTGAGCTATGATCATGCCACTGCACTATAGCCTAGGCAAGAAAGCAAGACCTGATCTCTTAAAAAAAAGAAAAAAAGAATATGGAAAAATGCATCAATATATTGACTGATTATCCCTAACTTAAAAGAATATGAATTATTTTCATTTACTGTCTTGTATTTTTCTAGAATAAGATGTCCTGTTACCTAGAAAAAAAAATGTTGTTTTAAAAAGGTTAATATCATGCCAATTACTTATGGGTGAAATATGTCTAGGAGGTTATATGTGATTTAAGAAAGCCTGCTTATTTTAGGATATGTACCTCTGTTTTATAGAGTTCAAATTATTTTAATGCTAATGAGGCTGAAAAATGGAGTTTCTATTTGCTTAAAAAATAACCTAGCTTCTACAGGTATTTCCTTTTTGGAGAATAATGACAGTATGTGGTGACTATATTTTCCTAAGCTAAGAAATCTAGGGCTTGGGATATGACAGATGATTTATTTTCATGATGTCTCACATTTTTTTTATCTGAAAATCTTTAAAAGGAATTACAAATATTTAAGTGCATGTTTATGTCTTAGAGGGACTAAGTTGTGTTAGCTCAGGATGGTCCCATAGAGTCTGAGACCGGTGGCCATAGACTGGATAGAGTACACTGGACAGGTCTCATTTGAAAACTTTGTCCTCTGGGCCCCAGTGGGAGGCCACAAGCCTAACACTGTCTCATGGATATCTTTGTCCTGTCTGGGGCCCAGACACACAGGTAGAGAAATGGAAAAACATGCATTTATACATCAAGGAACACACAAACAATGATCACTTGATTGGGGCCTTAATTGCATCTTCCAGATACCAGGAACAGCCCTTGTTACTTCTGGTGTGGTCAATACTTTCTCTCTAAAATGACTTTGCTAATTTTGGAGCTTAGGAATTCTCTTCAGATTTGGCTTCTTAACCTACCCAGTACTTAACGTACAAAAACCTCTATTGACATGTCATTGAAGGTTATATTTATGTATACATCTGTAATGTAATTTTTTTTCTCTTCTCGTCCCTAGCTTTGGGCCAGATTATGTTGTATGTGGATGGGATGAATGGAGTAATAAACCACAATGAAACCATACAGTGGCTGTACACTCTCGTTGGGTCAAAGGTAAGGGAAAATTATGGCTTTGAATAATTTGTTCGGTTTGTGTATCACATATGCCTTTCTTTTGGTTATTCTCTTTGAGGTGATTTTGCAGAAAGAAATTTTATTTAGTAGTTCAATGAGAACTACTACCTTGTAGATTTTAAAATATACTTTAATTGCAAATCACTTACGAAATTTTAATGCACATCTATTTTTTCTTCAGCTTTAATCAAATGCCTTTGGCATCTTTGCTTTTTAATGTTTAACTGAAACATCAGAGCATAGTTACAGGCACCTCCTGTTTTTCAGGTTCATATGTGTTCAGTTACTTAAGTACATATTTTTACGTAGCATATATGCTTATGTATATTCCTATATATAAGTGAAATAATTTGAGAATGCCTTTCAGCTCTACCATTGATTATTAAAGCAACCAACATTATTAAATATTTACCAGGTACCTGGTACCACATTAGATTTTTACAAGCATTATTTCATTTAGTTCTCATGAGGTCACAGTGAGGTAAATAATGTCACCCCCATTTTGTAGCTGAAGAGATCAGGCTTGATTATGAGAAAATAGCTGATTATCCCATGGATCTTGGCAAGCTTCTGTGCTGCCAAGAATTTTTGCTGTACTTGAGTTGTGCGCTGTCACTTGAGGTGTGCCGGAAGCTCAGTGAGGCTCTGGCACTGTTCTCTCTGGATTATCCAGGAGCAGGGGAGCCAATTAGGGACCTGGCTGGAGGGGATTTGGGGAAAAGAATTAAGAAGGGATCCTGTCCTGAGAGATCAGAGTGGCTGATGTGGGCTACACTATCAGGCAAGGGGTGGAGGGGATCCTGAGAGTCAGCGGGATGTGGAATTTGAACCTAACTTAAACAGATCACAGACTCAGCACAGCTTTCCAGAGTCCCTCCAGGGTCCCTGTAGAGAATGTGACCAGTCCAGACTGTCCTCCATCCCTGTGCTCGTTGCGCACCCTGACTCTGACAAGCCTCTCCAGGCTGGTGTGTGCTGGCATTGTCCCCTGACAGGGAGTCCATCCCGGCCTTGCATCTTGCCTTACCTGCTTCCCGAGGACTCTCAGGTCCTCACGAGCACTTAGCCCCGATTTGACTTTGAGATGAGCATGGTTCTTGCTTCAGACTTTATCTTCATTTCAGGTTTGCAGAATCCTAGTGATGGTGCCCTTGTGTGGGTGGAAGGGCCTTTTCTCTGTGTCTGGCCCTGGCATGTGAATACTCGTGGAGTCCCAGGTCTGTGGGTGACCCTGTGTCTTCCCCTTGGTTTTCCTTTTCCTGGTAGTACTGATGAGAGAATTTTTTTCCCTATTTCATATTTAGAAAATAGCTATGATTTCCCCCCGTGGGTTGAAAATCTTTCTGAAAAAAAAATTATTATCTTTGGCTTTGTTTTCTATGGAAAATGGAAGTGACTTTGTTTTGAAACTGATGTAGGTGACCTTAGAAGCCAAGTGGAATGCTGGGCCTACTAGGTTGATTTAGCCAGACCGAGGGAAGATTTATATCTCATATCCTGTTTCAGTGTTTTCTCTTTATTCTTTGCTTCTGGGAGCCCTCTCTAACTTTCAAGCTCATTTGAAAGCTGCTCCCTTCCCAAGGCTCTCTGAATGCTCTTGAGGACCCCCAAAGCTAAGGAGATGGGAGGAGATTCTATAATAACTGACTTTGTGTAGGTGTAAGCTAAATTAAGATATCATGGCCATAGGGAAACTACAAAGATAAACACTCATTAGTGAGCCCCTATTTCTAAAAGGAAGTAAAACCTGGGATGTGTGCTATAGGAAAAGGGACGGTCTTTTTGCTTATCACCAGAATGGGACTAGAGTGAGGACAAGATTAGGGAAGATGGGATGAGAGCAAGGAAGAGAATAGTATGAGCAGAGAGAAGGCACAGAGAGTGCTGTGGTCCGAATGTGTCCCCTGTATTCACATGCTGGAAATTTATCCCCAGGGCAACCCTGTTGGGAGGTGTTTGGGTCATGCAGGCTCTGTCCTCCTGAATAGATAAATGCCATCACAGAGAGGGCTCGTGGGAGGGGCGGCCTGGCACTCTTCAGTTCCTCTGCTGCGTGAGGACCTAGCGCTCCTCCCTTCCTTCTAGAGGATGTGGCAACACGCAGCATCTTGGAAACAGAGGGTCAGGGCCCCGACAGCTGGTGCCTTGATCAGCGACTTCCCAGCCTCCTGAACTCTGAGAAAGAAATGTTTCCTCTTTATAGAGTGCTCAGTCTCAGGTATTGTTACCGCAGCACGAACACAGACAGGAAAGGCACAAAGAATCGAGGTGGGGGGAGGATGGGGAGAAGAAAAGAAAAAGAGGGCAGAGAAAAAATGGGGGTGCCAGAAACACATCTCGCGGCTCAGAAACTCGGGTGCTGTGGTGGCACAGTGTCAATTTTTCTCTGGAATCTTTCTGTAAGGAAAATAAACAACGGAGGAGAATCGCACAGGAACATCCGTAATGCATTTCTAAATCACATAGAAAAATCATAAAATTAACAGCCTCCAAAATGAGTTTGAAGGAAGCGTGCTTTCCCAGCTAGCTTTCCCTGGGTACTGTGCCCTGGCTGTGCTCCCTCCAGGGTCCCTGGGGACCTACCCACGGTGGTGCCTCGGCCTGCTCCCTAGACACTTGGGTCACCAGGGCTGGATTCGTGTGGAATTCTGTCTTCATCTTTCATTTTCCAAAAGGAAGGTCCATAATAGTCTCCGGCTCCTGTGATCCTTGCTATGCCAGTCACAACGAGGACATGAAAACAGCCAAGAGGCAGCCTGGGCCTCTGAGCGCACAGTTTCAGTAGAAAGGAGAACTCTGGTGATAGCGCAGCCTGTCTCACTAACCGTGATGTCAGATAAAGGTTTCCAGCCACCCTGCTGGGTGTATTTGGTCCTGGGCTAGTTCCTGAGAGTCAACAAAGGTGGCAGCTGCCAAGTGTTTTTCTAGTCTGTAGTTCCAATGAGATCACCTCTTACTTGCAAAACCCATCCAGTATCTGCTGACACCCCTTCAGCACCTCCCACCCAGATAGTGATGAATTTGGAAGGACAGAGGTTGCACCAATCTAAGACCTTTGGCAATGGAGAATATTGCCTTATACGCGCAGGTTGGTCAATACAGCCACAGAAGGTTTTCCAAGTTCAAATTGAATTTAGGAAGTGGGAAAGCCAAGGGTCTTAGCATTTTTTTTTTGACAAAAGAGACAGATTTGTCTTAACCTGAAAGCTTTACCTTGACATCAGTTGTCTTTGCCTTAAACAGGCACAGAGCTGATAAAGAAAATACTGGATTAGAAAAATCTTGCCATTCTGTTTTCATAATTCTTCATTTTTCTTCCATGAAAGGCAACAAGATGTGATTTTGCAGCCTGCCAGAGGGTCATTATGCAATGCATATTTCCAGATAGTTGAAACTCGTAGCCAGAGGAAAATGATGCATTTGCAGCCAAATAATGACTTTTTAAAAGAAAGAAAAAAAAAAGAAGTGTTTTCAATAAAATGTTTCTTTCTATTTACCAGAGCCCATCTTTAAACTCCCCAGTCAGAGGTAAGAGGCAGATGCCCGCCCTGTGACTTATTATAGGGAGTGGAATTTTTCCCTTCGTACATCTGGAATCCTAATTAATCGGGGTGAGATGATTCAGTTTGTACAGCACAGCCTTTTTGTCACCCTTTGGTCACAGCAAGTCTGCCTTTCTTTATCTGTCTGGATCCCCATCTGGCATATGGGGGCAGCCCAGGGCTCTGGGGCTGGCAGACCCTCACCCCCTCGCCTGTCCTCCAGGGCTGCTCCCTCCCTGCGCCGCCATCTGTGGGCTGCCCTGCTCTGTCTCTCTGTAAGCCACATTGCATCTAATCCTTCCAGCTGTTCCCCAGCTTGCGGTTCACAGATCTCTAGACCTCCTTAGTGCTCTTGTGAGGGTGAGTGTGCTTTCTCACTAGGTAGACCCAGCTGCTAACCCTGGGCAGGGGAGGCCCTGGCTGTGCCCTCCATTTCTCTCACACACACTCTAAAGTTTCTGGTCAGGACAGTAATATGAAGAGAAGGAACCTACAGTTTGTGGGAAGGGTTGGTGGTGGTGCTGGAGGAGGGGGATGGACAGGGATGGGGAGGTGGTGAGGATAATGTGGTATCCAGCTGTGAGATAATGAAGCCTGGTTAAGAGTTGCGGTGGGAACAGAATCATGGAAGTGTGGAGACATTGTGAGAAATAGCTTCCTTGGGCTGGGTTTCTGATGGTAGAAAATAAAGTCAAATTCAGCCACATTTTGACCCTGGGCAACTAGGAATATGACAGGGCCTCTGGCAAGAATAGAAGAGTTGGAATTGGGGTCCACTGGCAAGAAAGGCTCAGGTACATGGGTTTTGAAATGAAGATGTTCCCAAGGAGAGCTACACTCCGTGGTGCTGGTGCTCTGTGAGCCTCAGAGGTGCGGGCTGATTGAGGGGGGGAGGAGATGCACTCTGATCACGGAGTAAGACACACGTAGCTGGCGTATGACCCACCCCAATGACCCCACCGGGATGAGATCTGAAGAGATTCTGAGGTTGTACATATGAAATGATAGGATTCTAGCTGGGCAGAGATGGTGAAGTGATGCTGAGGGTGTTCTTGATACCACCGGTCACACTGCTGATACTTCGAGAGGCCACAGGAGCATGGTTTCCTCAGAAGGCCTTGCCACTGTTGGACACTGGAGTTGGTGGAAAGCCTTCCTTATGGGGACTCCCGTTGCCTGTCTTTAACTAAATTCTTATGTGGTGCTTTCTTGAGCAACACACTCCAACTTCCCTGCAGAAGCTCTTTAAGTAAAGCCACACTCGATGGCTACTGCAGATAGTCCTTGGGAACTGAACTTTCAATTCATCATACTGGCTGCTAACTTTCCTGTCCCTCTAGTACAAAGAATGGCAATATGATGGCCTCCTGGGATGTGACACTGTTCTTGTACAAATCCCATCTCTGATTTATTACGTCTTTAAGTGGTAGCCCCAGG